GGAACTTTTTCAGAGGTTCAGTTTAAACCATTCCTCATCCCGTTTTGTTTGTATAGTGATCAAGAATCCAGGCATTGATAGGGTGTCATTCTGAGGGATTTTAAGCCATTAAAATAAAGGAAAAAAAGGAGGCAAACACCATTTGTTCAATATTATTAAAATTACAGATACAGGGAAGAAGTCTTCTTTAAAATAACATAGCAGTTGGCAAAAGACCATGTAGTCAGGCAATGCATTGAAAACGATATTTAATGAACACTACTGCAGTTATAGCATTCACTGGGGATAGAAAAAAGCATATCTTATTCAATTTTTTCAGTAGTTTATATGCTCACCAAGGGACCTAAACCATAGCACATGAAAAGTTAAATAGTTTGTTGTTCAATACAGTATCCATTAGCCACATGTGGTTATTTAATTTTAAATTTAAAGAGATTAAAGTAAAATTTAAAAAATTCACTACCTCAGTTGTTCCAGCCACATTTACAGTGCTTAGTAGTCCTAGCACTTTGGGAGGCCGAGGTGGGCAGATCACCTGAGCTCAGGAGTTTGAGACCATCCTGGGCAACATGGTGAAACCCTGTCTCTACTAAAATACAAAAATTAGCTGGGTGTGGTGGCGTGCGCACCTGTAGTCCCAGCTACTTGGGAGGCTGAGGCACGAGAATCGCTTGAACCTGGGAGGTGGAGGTCACAGTGAGCCAAGATCACGCCACTGCATTCCAGCTTGGGCTATAGAGTGAGACTGTCTCAAAATAAATAAATAAATAAATAAATAAAAATAAAGTGCTTAGTAGCCATACGTGGCTAGTGGCTATCATATTGGACAGCGCAGCTGTAGAAAGTAGAATGATTCCTTCATTGCAGAAAGTTCTATTGGACAGCCCTGACTATTTCAATACAGTGTATAGGTGACATATTACTGACATTTAGAGTAACTGCTTGCTAGTCGAGAATAGGGAAGGATCAATGCTTGTTATAATACTGATGAAGGCTTTAATAGGATCTTGAAATTATGGTTCTTCTGACAGGTTGAAAGGAGAATGGGGGACATTTTCAGTAAAGAAAGGAAAAAGGAATGTTTGGGGGAGTAGTAGCCCATCAGGTTGAATTCCTGTTTATAGATTTCAGGGAGGTGAAGGTGAAAAGAAGCTTTGGGGTGAGATAGGTTGTGAGACTCGACTGTCAAGCTGAAGTGTTTGTTCTACATTTCATAATGCCATTAAATCCTTTTGAGCAGGGTACTAACAATCCTGGGACAATGGTCACATGGAAAATAATTTTTCTTTGTGTAACCTGGTATATGGAGCACCAATACTAACATTAGAATACCATTAGGCATTCATCTTATGCTGCATGGTTAGCTGCAGAGTTGAGTCAAAGCCCAGTAACACTGTGTGTGTGAGAGAGAGAGAGAGAGAGCGAGAGTGAGCAAGAGAGAGCACATATTTATGCTATGAGATGGGGAGGAAAGGGAGATGTGGAATGTGGAAGCTCAGTTCTTGGTTCTCTCAGAAAACCACAGGGAAGACTGGGGTAGTGTTGGTCATTTCATGAAGTCCTAAAGAAATCAGGATATTCTAAATTTTATTCAGAACTTTTATTCTTTCTAAGATGTTCATTTTCATCAAGGAATATTTCAGAATGGAAAGGAGTTTCTACCATATCTGGATATACCCCAATTATATCAAGGCTTCAAGAATGAACTTAGGCCAAATTGTCCCTTCTTAGAACAATTTATGGGGACAGAGAGTAGCACAATTAAAATCTTCTTTATTCACCATCACCTCATTTTATTCCCCCATCCCTATTTCTTTTCTTTTCTTTTCACATTTATTAAGCCCTTATTATGTGCCAAGCACTGAGGGTGCAGAGGTAAATAAGACACAAATCTTTCTGCAGGGAGCTCACGGTCTTTACGGAGATGGATACCCAAATTAAACCCATGCCATTATAGAATGGAGACAATGGTGGCAGGGCCCGTACAGAGTTCTAGGGAGTCTGTCAGAGATCCATGAGGCAGCTTGGGTCAGGCTGGTTTCAGGCATGTTCTCACAGAGGGGAAGATACTTACTTAATCTGACTCTTGGAAGAGGAGTATAAATGAATCTAGTAGATTAAGTGAGAAATACTACAAGCAGAGAGGGAAGATCAAGAACAAAAGCCAAAAAGCATAGCAGAATGTGAGCATGGGGAAAAAGCTAGGCTTTGTTTCCATTTTTGTCTTTGGCACAGGATAAAGGAAGGGCTTGAGGTATATTTGTTTCTTTTTTTTTTTTTTTCCTTTTCTTAAAACAATTTTTATTATACTTTAAGTTCTAGGGTACATGTGCCCAACGTGCGGGTTTGTTACATATGTATACATGTGCCATGTTGGTGTGCTGCACCCATTAACTCGTTGTTTACCTCAGGCATATCTCCCAATGCTATCCCTCCCCGCTCCCTCCACCCCACAACAGAGGTATATTTATTTCTATATACACTTTCATGCAGGCTAAGCAGCAGGTGTAGACAATATAGACATTTTCCTAGGTGACTCTTATGGCTTGGGGGAAACATTTAAGTCATCTTTACTGTCATCATCTGGCTATGGTTTATGGTAAAAGTCGTGCCAAAGAGAATAATCTGGGGAGCTAGATACAAGTTCATTTAATGTGTGGAGGTGCCTTTGCTCTAGTGTTTCTCATAGATTCATGGAAACTTCTATTGCCTTAAGAATGACATGCTAGACTGTCACTCTGTTTACTGGATTTTTGCCAAGCAACTTGTCTTCATTTGGGGAGAGTTTATGGACTAACTTTTAGCTCTTAAAAATTACCCCAGGGAGAAATGATGTTTTTTTGTTTTGTTGTTTGTTTGTTTGTTTTTTGCTTTTCTAATTACACAGTCCTTACTTTTTTGGCTCTGAAATGACAGCATGCTTTTAGAAAAAAAATACAGAAAAAAAGAAATTAAAATCACTGTATTAAAACAAGAAAGAGAGCCAGTTAGAAGTGTCTAGGAACAGAGCCACTAGAATTTCTCACTTTCTTTATGAGTCAGAGGCGTTGTCATAGGAAGTTTATTTTTATTTTTTTCCTGTTATGATAGGACAAGACATCATGAGAGGCAGCACAGGCGGGCAGGAAGACCGTGGACTTTGGCATGTGACCTGGATGGAAGTACCTGCTCTGCCTCTTCCTAGCTGTGTGGCCCTAGGCAAGTTGCTTAAGGAGTGGAAGCTTAGTTTTTCTCATTGTTAAATTGGGAATAATAATATCCTCCTTGTAGGGTTGACATGGGGAATATAGATATGGGACTAGCACAATGTCTGGTCCTGTTAAATAACAAATAGCTTTTTTTATTATAACCACTAATGATGTGTTTGAATTTCTCCCTTCTCCTTTAGATGACTATGAGCTACTTATTTTCTTAAAGGAGAGGGTGCTCAACTGTGCCACTTATGGAATACTGACCTCCAGGCACTAACTTTGTGAAGTGGAAAGATAATTCCCAGAGTAATGTCCTAAGAGAAATAGTAAATTGTATGGAGTGGGAGGTCTGAGTATCACAGATAAACTAAATAATTCCTCATGCAGTAAATTACACCAGAATATCAGTGTGTTCTTCCTACAGAAATTAGCTCCCTATTGATGGTGAGAAAGCAAATGCTCAAAGAAAATATTTGGCCAATGATCTTGGTTAGTTAATGATAGTAAAGATAAAGCAGGGAATTAACAGCTCAGAGACTGATGAGCTAGTTCAAAGAATTATCTAGGCTCCTCGTTTATTGAACTTATTGCTCATTCTTGGCCACTTTTCTCTACACAGTATTCAGAGAGTGAGACGGGAATGAAGAGACAACTTCAGTTTATCCAGTGTTCTAAAGATTTTTTGGGTAGAAGTGGAGGTTGAAGATATGAGAGAGAGAGAAAGAGAAAGAGAGAGAGAGTGAGAGAGAGACAGGCTTGAATAATTCTGACATTCCTGCTATTATTGTAATAAAGCATTGAGCCATAGAACAAAGGCATATTATCTACTTCTTTTGTTCCTTTTTCACCTGGGTTTTAGAAATCTCTCTACATATCTTATAGTGACATTCAGTATGTATTACTTAACAACTAGCAAGACTGAAAATACCATGTTCTGAGTGATCTTGAAATAATGCTGCAGGAAGTGATTCTTAAACTATTCTTAAGCTGTTCCGTAGAATATCAATCCCAGGAGATGTGCTCAGGCAGGGTAGATCTGTCGTCAAATGTTTAAGGAACACTTGATTGTAATGTCTTTGGAGGATGAAAAAATATATAGCATATAAAAATTTCTGTAAAGTCATGCAGTGAATAAAAATGTTTAATATTGTTTCATTGAGTGTTTCTAGAACTTATTTGACCACAGAACCTTTTCTGGTATAAACATCGATCAATCCCAGGTAGTCGTGTTTTGAAACGCACTTTGGAAAATATTGAAGCAAGGGATGTAGATATTTTATACAAAAGTCATTATTAAACAGTTATCTTTCTCCAGTTAAAATAGAGTTTTTACATCAGAAACCCTGTATTGTATGTGAGAAATTCCCCTTTGGCTGGTCTCAAAATATAGATTGGTAAGAATATAGGCCTTTTAAGACTCTTTAAGCCATTTTCTAATTATTGTTTGTTTTTTTACTTTCCACTTACCCTTGATCTTGTTTGGCCTTTTGAGATATGTGGGATTGACCTCTGTATTCTAAGAAACAAAAATACTCTTGCTATATCTTGGAAGGTTATCTGGCTATTTGACATTTTATCCCATTTTGACTGATTTTGTATAAATACTTTGAGCCCTTCCTAGGTATTGTAAGTATAATCCATTTACCATACTAAATGAATAACCATAAAATGCATGCTTAATTAGTATCTTTCTGAAAAATACTTGACAAGACCTCACATGTCTCTAAGTGGCAAAGAAGGTAGTTATTTAAAAATTGTTCTGCTTAAGATAAATAAAGGCACAGAGATGATCAGTGATATGCTCCTTACCCCAGAGACAGTCAAGGTGTTTTTGAAATTAAAACACTGAAGATTTTCCGGTGATTTGCAAGTCACATGCACACCAACTCCATAGCTTCATCTCTATGGACACAAAAAATGATCTTAGAGGATTGCTGTTTTGCTGTGAATGTCATAATTTTTACTAAGCAAGCAGCTCTCCTCTGGTGTGCCAAGGATTCTTTTTTTTATGGTCCTAATTGATCTCTATCCCCCAAAGGGTTCTGAATTATGCAAGTATCTCAAGTCTTAACAAGCCATCCCTACACAGCTGTGCAATGGAAATGTTCAACAGAAAGGTATTCACTTCAGTCTAGGCAAGACCCTGACTGCTCCCTGGAGAGACCCAGATTTAGGGGAGCAGGTTCTGGGCCATCTGGGCTGGAGAAGCCTGTTTGGCCCATTTCTGTCTTTTTTCTCCCAGCTCCCTTCCCATTACTCTGCTGACAGGGAGGGTCTAGTCACCGCAGGCTTCCTCAGACTTAGCGCTTGTCTCTCACTGACCCCCAGCTGCCAGGCTTTGTTTATTACTGAACTGAGCATTTAGATTCAGTCTTGGCTGGTGGTAGCCTTGGAAAGAACATTTGCTAAGATTGTTTTAGTTTTCTTTCAAATAAACTTCCACAAGCCTGGACATTTCAGGCATTGCTAATGCCAGAAATGTGGGTGATTTATTCTTAGAGGCTTAAATTAGGATTTTTTTTTTTTTTAAAGAAAACTAACAATGTGATGTATTACTATGGTATACATTTTAGCCATTGGTTGTAAAGGACACTTTGCTCTGCCTTCGATCTGAAAAATTTAAATCTAAAGTCCCCTTCTGGGAACAGATCTGTTTCTATTGAGACACCCAGCCCCTGGCTCCCTCTACTGGTGAACAACCTCCCTCTCCATTTGGGCAGCTGGGGATTGTAATTAGCTGGGGGCTGGAAAAGGGACTAGACATGCCCTTAAATTAGGAACTGTGGATCCGATAGCATATTTTCGCCACAGATCCCCTTTCTTTCCTCATTCTTCCAACCTCAACAATCTTGGCTACCTAACTCACAAATTCTTAGCTCCCCCTAGTGCCTCCCTTCATGTACTTTTTGGCTTTAATCTTACATCTGCCATTTAACAAGAAGCCGCTTGTTTGGATTGAGAGCACTGATCAACACCATGACTCCTGGACTTTAAGGCTGGGCAATCGCTAAGTGGATCTTTAAAGAAATACAATAATGTACAATCATCACTGAATTTATGAATGAAGTTGAGGCTTATCGTCAGAGTGTAGACAGCATGCTAGTTGGAGGAAGATCCTCAATGGGATGATTGCTTGAAAATGCCTCCCACCTGCCCCATTGCAGTGCTCTTTCGTCAGCTGGTAATATTTGAAATCCTCCTACTGAACTGATGGCAGCTGCAACTTAACTCCTCTGCTGCCATAAACTAGCTATAATTGCCTTAGAACATGAAGCCTCAATTATGGAGGCCATTGGCCCAGACTTCCAAAAAGCAGCTGTTTTATCTAGCTAACAGAGGGGACTAGAGAAGCTCCCCAATAGGCTAGATGCATGTTATTTCCTAGAGAGGTTGACAGCTGACACCCACACCCAGGCCTGTTTAGTTAGCGTTGGAAAAGTAGCACGTGAAGTGATTGTCTTCAGTCTCAGCACATCAAATGATCCAACGCCTAAATATCCTGTGGTGTAAACACATCAATTGGAAGCTTAAGAGAGACAGTCTTCAAAAAAGACTTACTTAAAAGAATGTTTTCACAATCATGCTTAGCCATAGACTGTGTTAAATTTAACATATAATAAATCAATTTTAGAAGCACACTATTTCGGAGATATGGAAACAATTGTCAGGCATGCTTCAGAGGAAAGTGAAGAAGCATCTGGGCTAACATCTGTCCGCTTATTCAGGGTAAATTGTTTACAGAAACAATACAAGAATATTCTTTCCTGCCTTCATCACTTTCTATGGTGGAGTGACTTTATGTGTTACCAATAATTGTGCTGTTATTTTAGCAGTGAACATTTCAATGACTTGACTTCCACGGAGTTATTATCCTGGGTCAGAGTCAAGTCTAAAAGGAGGTGAAATGAGGTCCCATTTCACCTTTTCCCACTTGAGGTCCCATCAAAGGATAAGAAGTTTTAATAGATATAGTAAAGCTTTCACACCTCTGTGATCCAGGCTTCAATTAGTGTTGTATTTAAAGAACCCTGACTCAAACAGAAAGTCATCTCTCAAGCATTTGAGAGGGTCTGGTTTTAGACAATCCTATTAAAATCTCTTGTAGTACTTCAAAACTCTTGGAGATTCTCCCTCTTCTGTTTCAGAGGAATCAACTCTCTTAGCTTCACTGTTCTGTCTCTATACTCTTGGTCCCTTGATCACCTGTCCCCTCTGTTACAACAAATCTCATACCTACACATTCTGACCGATGTGTCCCTTAATGTTTTTCCTGATTATCCATTATGGGTATTTTACTCTTTCTCTCATTAAAGGCAGAGGAAGGTACAAAATGGTTAAATTGGCAACACATTGTCTGTTGGGTGGAAGAGGAGAATTACGCTGTAAATCATCACATTCTAATACATTTGTTCCTCAAATGAATATTGGAACTAGATCTTAAGCCTCCTGTAAAAAATAATATAGTTTCTAGAACTCAGTTAAATGTGGGAAGAACTAGTGAGAACACTAAAGACAGGAAAATAGCTTAGCCATTGCTAAGGTTAAAATGAACTCTCCTATATTTCCCAAAGCAAGGGAGAATCTTAAACTCAATACATTTGAGACCTGAGTCACTATATGTCTATATAGACTCTATTTTCTACAAAGTAAAATTTACTTTGTAAATCCCTTACTTTGTAGAAAGTAGTTTTATGGACTATATTTTCTACAAGTAAGAAAGGAGTTTAGGAAAATGGATATTTTATACTTAGCTTTTTTCCCCATTCACTCACCCACTCAACACAGATTTACTGAGCAGCTACTATGTACCATATCCTGGGCTGGTAAAAAACATACCATCCATGTGATGGTGATGACCACTGACTTCACTCTTTACAAGAATTTATATCAATGTGTCCTAGACATTTGGTAGTGGAGGTATAGCTGTAGTCCAAACTTCTACCAAGCTATGGTTTCTGAGAGCCCTGTATGTTAAGTGCCTACAGAATGCTCAGCATAGTCAAAGACACCTTAGATTCACATTATACAAGGAGCCACACTGTAGTTATTCAAGATTAAGCATGGGTTGGAGACTTTGGCTGTAAGAACTCCAGCCTTGGGTGTGCTATACTCATCTGGGTGGCCTCGGGAAAGACATTAACCTTTCTGATTTTTTGCACCTGTAAAATTAACTTTTAGTTACAATTAACTCCAAGGTCTTTTCCAATATTTTACCTTTTGTGATTCTCTAAGGTTTGTTTTTTTAATTTCCAAGTAGTTGTAATAGGTACTGGATAAGTAAAACGGCTTATCTTGAAACCTCATCTCAGATACTCTGTTGGAGGCAAGTAGCAATTTTAAATTACTTTCTTCTAGGTATGGGAATTAAAGTTTAGAAAAATGTGAAACTTTTACATTTGATAGGGTGGAAATTTATATCCTATTTAAGAGAAGTATGAGGAAATTTTTGATAATGAGAGAAACCACAAGTATGAGTGGTTCTTTAGAAACTTGTTCTATGAGAATTAAAAAGAGATTTCTTCCAGTGAAAGAACAAAGGAGATGTCACATATGACTGCATCTGCATATCCTGAAAGATTTGCTGAAGGCGAGAAGGGTCAGTTTTTGTTGTCCAGGAGGGACAATGAAAGTGAGCACCAAATAAATACAGGACACTGAAGGTGAATTGTCAGGTGTGTGTTCATATTTTACATAGTCAGCTAAAGTTGTTGCTTTTGCTCTTATCCTACATTTAGAAGTTAGAATTCATTATTTTTATTTTAATTGATTATGATCCGTTTTGGTGAACACTTTTTGTTTCATTCACTCCAGTTTGATCTGATGCAATTTCAATGGCTTCATGGATTTGAGTACACAGGGCTCCAGGCTTACAGACATTCTAACCTTGTGTGACTCCCTTTAACCCCATTCCTGCAAATCTGCTTGAGGAAAAACTATGAAGAACGTTCTTCCTCAAACAACAAACAGTTACTAAAGTGATAGAGGGATCTCTGATTAGCAGCTTTGCTCTGTTGGTGTTGAAATGTGGTTCATGCTCATACTTCTCACTCCTTATCTCTCTAGAAAGGGGGAGTTTAGTAAAGCTATAATTTAGTACTGCGGGGTGTAACCAGGTCTGCCAGGTCACTGGAAGATCTTCTTCATTATATTCTTAGCATTTTGTGACAACTTATGAACAGGTTCTTTAAAAAAAATGTGTATTCCTTTAGGGATTGAGAGATCCTTTTCACACAATGCTAAAAAGAAAGATTCTCTAAATTCCTAAGGGCATTCATTCTCCCCTTAATTCTCCTCTCCTCTCCTTTCGGTTTTCTTTTCACTCAATAGTTAGAATAGTGCACCATTCACAAGAATACACTCAAGTTTCACGATCTGTACCTTCTTTAACTTATGTACATGTATGTTTATAGGGGTCTGGTTGAAGAGAAGCAGGTCAAAGCAGAAACACCTAGCTCCCAGAGGGTTACTTGGAGGACCAGAGGTTTTAGGAAATACAGTGTGTCTCAATCTCTCTGCAAGTTTCCACACCAAAGTGAGTAACCATGGATAAGGAGTAAATTGCTGTTTCTAACTTTTAGCTTGCAAATAAGCACTCAACATTACGCTTTTCAGGATACTGAGGGTTGGTTTTGTAGACATGACCCATCCATTAGTTAAAAACATGTTTTAAGGATTTTTTTTTTTACTCATAGTATAGCTTTTAGAATTATGACTCGCAAATTACTGTGGGTTTTTAAATATGGGCAAACCTGAAATCATTTTCATCATTAGAACCAAGCTGTTCTTTTCTGTTAAAGAAGGAGGGCTAAGGAGAGGGGCAGAGTAAAGATGGATCTTATACTTTCATTGATTAAAAAAACAACAAATAAAAAGACAAGAGCAGACATGGATTTTTACTCTTCCCCATCCCCTCATGTTCACATAAATGAGGGTTGGGGGAAGTTACATTTCGTAACAGAGCCCCTAATCTTGCTTTTCTCCTAGGGCACTTCTGTGATTCCTCCAGCTTCTCTTTCAAGTCCCTTTTCACCCCAATCCCTTCTCCTTGATTTTTGTTTCACAAATAGGAATAAAGTGGCATATGTTTTCTGATCATGAAAAGGATATCATTTTATAATTTTGACATTAGGAGATCATCTAAAATGCACGTTTCTGTAGGAACAGCAAGCCCTCAAAATCAGTAGAGTGCCCTTCTTGTGTCTCTAATGAAAGGGGCAGTTTCTCATCTTGTCTTTTCTGAGAAACATTAAGAAGTCCTCCCAAGCCCGCTGCAATGCATTGGTTGGGTATAGTCATGGACTTGATCAAGAGGCAGCTACATAATGGCAAAAAGAAGAGACTCACGTGAAGTATCCACATCCTATGCAGAAGGGGAGATTGGGGGGCAACTACATGAAACTTCAACATTGATTTTTCTAAAAGCTTAAGAAGAGTAGTGTCATCTTGCTTGGTATGTACCCTATGGAGAAAGGATAGCTTTGCCCCTGGGAACGTTAGATCATGAGCAAACTAAGATGATCTCACTCAGTTATTTAGGGGCTTGAACTTGATAGGACATAGGGAAGGCAGTTACTGCTAAAAGGTTCATAGCTGGTCCAGTGCATTAATTGCCAGAGAAAGCAGAAGCAAACCCTTGGAGAATACTTTTATCCCCAAACTTAGGAATAACTGGAAGCTCATTTAAACTGGGAGCATTTCCCCCTCCACCCCAAGGAAAGATAACTTCCCTCAAGGGGATTGGGAGAATGAAGCAGCGTATTTTCATCCTTGTGATAATGGATGTGAGTCAGGCACTATCATAAAAGAAGAATTAACTTGAATGTGCCACATACTTGGTTTGGCCTTGTCCCATACCTGTACTCTTGTCATGGTTGATTACCTATGTACATCAGATATAAAGCAAGCAGTCTGCATTGTGGCATGAGATAAAAGGTATGTTAATATGCTCAGGCCATATACTATCTTGGCCAATAGTAATTTTATATCATTTGCTTAAAGGAAACTGCACTTCTTGCAATATTTTTTTCCAATGAAGAAAAATTTAACATGACTGAAAGTTTACATATAACTCTTGCATTTGAGTAACAGCACTGAATCCTCTCCATCTCAAACAGATCTTTTAAATATTTTTTTTTTTTTTTTGTATTTTTAGTAGAGACGGGGTTTCACCGTGTTAGCCAGGATGGTCTCGATCTCCTGACCTCGTGATCCGCCCGTCTTGGCCTCCCAAAGTGCTGGGATTACAGGCGTGAGCCACCGCGCCCGGCCTTAAATATTTTTATTACTTTTGATATGCAAAAGCTAAGGAGAAACGGTTTGCAAGACCTAAGTTAAATTTCTAATGAGTCTTGTTTTGTTAATAGGGGAGAATTTTATACAGCTTCGATGAGTTTTTTCTTTCCACATGAGATAATATAAACAAACAAACAAAAAATAAAGAATTCACTTCTCTTCTTACTTTAAGAACCTTAAGGGCTAAAAGAGTGGTTTGGTTTCCTGACTGGCAGTTTTGGTTTGCCTTCTCTAAGTGGTCTTGTGCAATTCCCCAGAGGAAACATTTGAAGAGGTTTTTTTCTCCCACATGAGAGAGTTTCATCCCACACAACCCACAGAATTTGATGGCAAACTTCATGGACCAAGTGTCTGGTTTTACAGAAGTGGCTGTGGTGTATGTTTTTCTTTTCACAGGTGCACATTTATTCTACCTTAGGAATAAGAAGAGATCATTTTATTTTAAAGAGGGTAGTTTAAACACTGATAATTGGATGCCAATCAGGTAGGTTTTAATTTACTAAATGAGGGGGAAAACGTGTGGAAAAAAGGATTAAAACTTCCAAAGCCTTTCTAGCTGATCTTTCTTTACAACCATCTGGTGTGCACAGAAGTATTGTATAATCTGGCCTGTATTATTCTCTTACTGTGAAACATATTGAAACGCTTTGTGTTTAGGTGTGTGTACAGAAATTCATGAAGTTCTTTTATACACTTTCTTAGTTCCATCACAATTCTCATTTTAGGATGTCGTGAAAAGATAGCCTGGTGAGAGAGTACATTCTACCCTGGCTTGTAAATTTGGATTTGTTCTTTCCTATCTACCAGCCACCTGATACACTGTCCCCGTGCAAAGGGCACCCGTTCACATCATTTTTTCCAAGCGCTAAAACCTGGAAAGATATTTTTTAAAGGACTACAGAAGCTGTCTTGGGGGTTTGGAAAACATCACAAAATTGTTAGCAGACCTTTTGACTGTGCTATTTTTAGGAAGTTAACTGTGTTCTTTCAAAGTACATTTTCAAATGACATTTTTGACGTTTGCCTTGCCCCCACTGATGTGTGAAATATGTACAATGAAAAACGTCAGTACAACACCCCAAACAGATACATTTTAACCTCAGCAACAGTCAGCAACAGGAGAAAAAGTGATTAAAAAGAGAAAGGTTTTCGCAATATTTATGCTGCTGTTTCTTCTCTAAAGGAGCTTTTATTTTACCATTCAAACAAGTTTGTTTTCAAACCAGTTGCTAGTTAAAGGAGCAGCGGATCGCGCATCCGTAAGAATCAGCTCTAACCAAACAGCAAACGCGTTGGCCAGACGGTGTCTTATTCCCCCACAGCAACCCCCGGTAGGTCAGCTGCCTGCAGAAGCGCTATCTTACCTTAAGCACGTAAGATCAGGGAGAGAGGCTCGCGGGCTCCCACGGAGAGGATCGGGGAAGGGCTGTGATCCGCTGCTGGTAACATGCACTTGGCTTTTATGGGCAGGTGGGAGGAGCTGCTCCTCATAGTAGGTGGGCAGGGAAGGAGCGGCGGGCGGGCAGCCTCTGGAGGAGCTGGACACTCTTCTCTGGGGAGGGGAGGAGAGGGCAGAGACGGGAGCCCGCGAGGCGGAGGAGAGACGACCGGGCGGGGGAGGGGGGGCGCGGTCACGACGGAGGAAGGAGTGGAAAAGGGAGAGAGGGAGAAGGGAAAAAAGAGAGGGAACGAGAAATAGAGAAAGGGATCTAGACCACAGATGGGGAAAGGTGGGGGAGAAAATGAATAGCAGAGAGACAGAGAGAGAGAGAGAGAGCGCGCGCGAGAGTCTGGGAGGAAAGGGGAATTGGAGTATTTTCCGTTTTTGCATGACATTTTTTGGCAGAGGGAGTTGTGGGTGATTGTGACTTTTGAAGGTGTTTTCTGGGAATTTGGGAATTTGAAAAGCTACATAGCGGTCCGGGAGAACTGAAGGGTTTCTAAGCGAGGCAAGGGAGGGGAAGCGGGGCGTCCGAGCAGCAGAGCCGAAGTGCAGGCTTGGACCCGAACCTGGAGCCGGAGGCACGGAGGCACTGACACAGCCTGGAACCAGGCAGCCCCCAGCCCGCAGCCCCGTCCCACCGCCCGCAGGTGAAAACCGCCCCGTCCCTCTCCCTCCAGGCAAGGCTTATTTGACAAGAAAGTTCCTGCGCTCCCTGTCTTCTGAGCATCCAGAGGCCCCTCTTGAGACTTCGGCAGCATTAAAGTAAATCCAGCAACGGGGAGGATCCGCGAGGACTTGCTTGTGGAGAGAGGAACCTCAGAACCAGCCTGGGTCTTCCAGCATCTGCTTATGTAACATAGGATTTCAGAGCTCTCTGCCCTCTGGTTATTTTCGGTATTTAAAACACTCTCATTCCTAACAATCGGAAAACGTCTTGGTGCCACAGCTCTTTCTCAGTGTGTCTTAAACATTAAGAGAGGATTCAACCAACAAGTGGCTAAAGGATCAGTCTGAAATTACTAAGAAATGCATTCAGAGAAAGAAAAACAAGCTCCTTTCGCTGCTGAGTGGTGACTCACTTCCTAGCCCAAGCCTGATTTTTGCCACCAAAGGAATTAAAGCATTTTAAAAGAGAACCTGAGACTTGGGGTGGGAGATACAGTACCGGGAGGGGGAAAAGGCAGGAATGGGAGCGGGGAGAGATGAGTAGGCTAGAAATAATAAAGGAATGAAATAATTGTACTGAATATGTATATGTACTTGATTCAGTGTTCACCGCAACCTTATGAGGTAGGTATGATTCATATAGCGCAGATTTTTTTTTTTTTTAATTTAAAGAAAGGCATCTCTAAGGGTTTAAATAACTGGCTCAAGCTAGCGAGATGGGGAACCACAGCTAGCCGGCTTGCAAACCTTAGGCACTCTTCAGTACATCAGGCTGCCACATAGAACACTTAGGTTGGTCTCAAGTTAGATCCTGATGTCTTTGGCTGGTACCAAGCTCCAAGAGAAGGAAACATGATGGTGAAGAGCAGAATTACTCAAACTTAGCACTACTGAAACTTTCTCGAGGATATTTCTTTGTTGTAGGGATCTTTCCTGTGCATTGTAGAATGTTAAGCAGTATCCCCGGTCTCTACCCACGAGATGCCAGTAGCAGTACCCATTCCGCACTCCCCACCCAGTTGTGAAAATAAAAAATGTCTCTAGATTTAGCCAATTGTCCCTGAGGGGCAAAATCCCTTCCTCTTCTTAAGAACTATTGGTCTAAAAAAGGTCCACAACCATAAAAAAGCATTTTAAAAGAATCTATTAAGAAAATACCCAATAGTACCATTTGGGTAATAATAATACTTACATCCATATGTGCCGAGTTTACACTGGACTTAGTTTTTTACATACGTATTTCCATCTGTTAGCTTCAAGAGCTCAAAGCCTCAATTGCTTCCTTTGTAACTAAGCTCATTCTCAATTGGTTACACATGGGAGTCAATGAACTAAACTCCCATGTGCCTGGGATATGAAGCAAGAACAATCATATGAAATAAAAAATTTAAAATTTTTATTGTAAACACAAATTTGACATCAGAGTTTTCAAATTTATTCATGATGTTTTGCATTATTGATTATTTGCCTTAATTTTTATAATTTTTAATCTCTACGTTCCCTATTCAAATTATATTCAATAATTTTTTGGCTGCACAAAGTTATAGCTAGTGGCTTACTAGCTAGCAAAAAATAAGTGCTCAATAAATATAAATATATATAGTCTGGCTAATTGAATAAACAGCAGTATTGAGCACTGACAATAGAGATCGGTCAGCATTTGTTAGTTTAATGAATACTTAGAAAGCTAAAACTTTCACATCAACTTTTCTGCCCATTTGCTATTTGGTTTTACACTCTTCTTACCCTCCCTAACTCAGTTTTCTTCTTCCCAAGTAGTATGTCTTTTGAGGACATGGACAAATCTACTGAGTGAAGTCTGTCAAATGAATAACACTTGTTACTCGACCTAGAAATAGGACTGCATTATTTATTCTTGGACCTAACCCTGAAATCAGATGTGATTTTACAAGCACGATAGCACTTTTGGAACTTTTTAATTTAGCAAAGAAATGTGTTCTGGGGAGACAAAATGGAACTCTTAGAGGAGAATCTGGGTGATAAAGCATGTTAGTAAATACCCTTATCGATTACAACAAATCATGTTTTCAATCCTAAATTAATGCCTCTCAAACAGTCCAGTTCCATCACATACGTATAAAAAAAAAAAAAAAAAACCCGAAAGGGAAGAAAAGCACATTTGAAGAAAAGACAATTGATGGCTGTAAGCTGTATTTCTCTTCTTATTTTTAATTCTTTCCTCCTTTCAAACCTGATTATCCAGCCAACATAACAAAAGCACTGCTTTCATTTTGTTTGGATGGCACTTATGATTAGTTCCTTTCTCCCGTTCACACTTGCCTGAATCTGATTCAGTAGCAGATCTGGACAACAAGTCAGGAATCCAGGAATGTGATCTCTTTGCTGACTCTTAGTGTGCCCTTCCTAGAATCAATCTGAAGGTGACTGAGGTTTGAAATGACCTAGTTTGGTCTTCTGTGGAAGGAAAGGAATCCAATGACAACATACTAGATGCTCTGAAGTTTCCATTGTGTGGCTATAACAGCTACAGATCATTACCTTACTTTTGAGAACTTTGCAAATGTAATCCTTTTTTGGAGTTTATTTTGAATTAATCAGTTAACAAATATTTATTAAAAATGGATATCAATGTGAGGTATTCAAAGCAGAAGAAAATAAGACATCTGTTCTCACAAAGGAAGAAAAGCATGAAATCTTGATAGTTGAATTTTAGTGAAGAGACTTCAGGGAGGAGGTGGCATTTGAGCTGAGCCATGGAAAGTAGCATTTGAATAGATGAGCGATGCACAGTAGTACATTCCAGACAAGGGAGGGTATGTGTGCAACCAGGGAAATCACAGGCATATTCAGAAGGTGGTGAATTGGCCAGCATGACAGAATAGAAGGGTTTATGTAGTAGAACAATGAGGCTGAGAAATGGAGAGGAGGGATGAGGTCACCTCAGTAGTCTGAACTGTATTCTGTAAGCAATGCAGAATCGATGAAGATTTTTGAGCAATAGAATGGCATGGTGAAAATGGAATATTTTCAAGATTTCATGTTTCTTTGAATATAGGGTCTTTATTGTAACTTTGCAGATAAATGCTTGCCTGTACCTCTCGGACTGTTGGGAATAGAGAACACAGAGTGTTTGCATCCTGCAGACTTGGAGGCCTGAGCAAGGTGGCAGAAACAGTAGTGGTTCTAGCCCAGTTTCCCTGGAGTGCCCTGTGTGGTTGCAGGAAGGGAGTAGGAAGGCAGGATCCTCTCACGGTGTGGCCAGGATGACATATGGGATTCACATAAAGGGTGGTGTCTTCTCTGTGTGTCCGAGGAGCCCAGTCTCTTTCTCACCTGATGTAGCTTTACATTATCCCTAAATAATATACCTGATCCATGAGATCCTTGAGTTTTCAATGATTTCTGGATCAGAAAACAATGCGATCTGGCTTTAAAAACTTCACATTCACATCTATGTTCTCAAATAGTTAATTTTCAACTATTTGTTTGTGCTGCCCAGGCCAGATTTCAAGCTCTGATTCTTCCTTTCACTCCTTAGAGCTTTAAAATGCAAATGAATGTGGCTTTTGGCCTAAGCAAAAGTCACAGACAGGTGTGCTCACTTGAAGCAAATCTGACAATTTGAAATACGGTACAGAAATTTGCTCTCCATCTATCAAATGACTCATCCGTCAGTCAGTCTTAGTCCGTGCTAAGCATGACCATATATGATCGTAGTCCGTAAGGCACTTAAAATTGCCAACTCTCCTAGGGCATTTAAAATGGGATTTTATTTACAAAAATGGAAAACGCTTTATAGCACAGAAGACAGGCACACCTCTTACGCATTCCAAAGGACCATTGGATTTTGTGAGTCACTGTTTTCCTGTTGGCCCATAGGGTAGAGCTGACTGATGTGGGTGACCCCACAGATGACTGCCTCACAGCTCCTGCTGGCTTTGCAAAGAGCAGTGCATGGAGAGTCAGAAAATCTGGAGTTCAGTCCCAGTTCTGCCACTAACTATCCAAGTGAAAACTTGGGGTAGGTGTTTTATCCTTTTTGGACTCAGTGTTTGCATTTGTAAATGTGTTTGCATTTGTAAAATAAGGAGGCTTAACCAGACCCTCTCGAAAGTTCTTTCCACCTTCCAGATGCCTGCTCTGTGCCAGTTGGTGGGCACTCCACTTGCTCAACATCCCCATGAAGTCAACTCAACATACAATGCTACACATGCTCAATTTAGGTATGTGTCTTAGGGTTCTCAGGAGGAAGAGAACCAGTAGGAGATACACACACACACACACAACACACACACATACCAGTAGGATATATAGGAGTTTATCAGGGATAATTGAATCACATGGTTACAAGGTGAAGTGCCCTGCAAGCTGGGGAAAGAGAGAAGCCAGTAATGGCTCAAAATCTGAAAGCCTCAAAACCAGGGAAGCTGACAGTGCAGCACTCACTCAGTCTGAGGCTGAAGGCGCGAGAGCCCCTGGGGGGCTGCTGCTGCAAGTCTCAGAGTCCAAAGGCTGAAGAACCTGGAGTTTGATGTCCAAGGACAGGAGGAGGAGAAGCTGAGTTTCCAGCACCACATGGGAAGAGAGAAAGAGAAATCTGACTTAGAAAGCAAGCTATGTATCCCCCTTCTTCCACCTGCTTTGTTCTAGCTACCCTGACAGCTGATTGGATGGTGCCCACCTGCACTGAGGGTGGGTCTTCCTCTCCTAGTCCACTGATTCAAATGTCCATCTCCTCTGGCAACACCCTCACAGACCCACCCAGAAAGAATGCTTCATCAGCCATCTAGGTATCCCTCAATCCAGTTAAACTGATGTCTAATATTAACCATCACAGCATTAAAGAGCTCCTA